CTCTGCGTCAACTGTCCTCAATAATTTCGTCCACCTTGTTGTTACTGTAACATTCTGCAGAAGGAGAGTAGGAGGGGGGAAAAAAAAACAAAAAATCGTGAATTATGTACTTGTCTCTCCCCTTATGGTGCAACACATCAATGTGTTCCTTTTAGCCACGGTGAGCCACTTACCAATTATCATGTCCATGTATTCGTTCTTCGAGAGAATCATATACTCACAGGGTGTTTCTGCGGGGTGTGCGTGTGGGGGAAGCAGGTTGGAATGTGTGGCAAAATTCACAGCCGTGCAGGACGCCACGTGTGCGGCGCGAGGCATACATGGACTACTCACCTGCGATGCAAGTGCTTTTGTTAAAATACACATGCTGGGTGTACCACTTTTTAAACAAAATGTTGATGTTCTTGTGAATGACATTGGAGTTGGTATTGGAGAGGCCGCTATGCAGCCTGCTGCCCATAGCGCTACCCGTAGTACTACCCATAGCACTGCCCGTAGCGCTGTGTTCCATTTTTTGTGGGCCGCTTTTGTGCCTGGAGAGGGAGCTGCTCTTGGGACGCAGTGAGTCTTTCTTGTCATCCGAGCTTTTCTTTTTAAAAAATAAAGATTTTTTTTTTTTTTTTTCTTCTTCGTAATTTTTGAGGACGTTAATTCTTTTCTCAATTGTGCTGTTAAACAGTTCGATGATATTGCATGGGCCAAGGGCCTCGAGGGCAATGATGCACTTGTGTGCGTAGACCCTGCTGCTTCCGTTTTTTATATTTTTCACATGCCCCTTCATTAGGATGATTGCATAGTTTAAAAAGGTGTTTTCCTTTAATATAAATTCATTTTTTTGCGCCGTTTTTATTTTTTTCCTTTTTATACACTTGCTGATGAGCTGCGTGTCAATGTACTTGAAGTAGACGCTCTCCTTTAGGAAGTTTATGACTTCCCGTTTGCAACTCGGCATGGGCGTGTGTTTCTTCGTGGATCTCGCTCGCTGGGCGGGTTGCGCTGGGGGCTGCGATGGGGACGACGGCGAGGTCGCCGGTGAAGACGTGGGGTGCTTCCCCTTATCGAGGGACTCGTCGGAGTTTTTCCACACAAAGTTGGAGGGGATGTTGGTTCCCTTCTTAACATTACGAAAATCAAATTCGTCTGTTATTTCCTCCTGCAATAAAATTTCAATCACGTCCTCCAGGGTGATGATGCCAATGTGAGAATATTTGGGGTCGGCATTTTCATCGTATATGACTTTCCTCACGACCACAATGTGGTTGTTTGCACTTTTAAAAAAACTCAGGAGAGACAAAATGCTTTCATTGTAGTCCACTCCGTAAATATATCTCCCAATGTGTTTTAAAATATATTTGACTGGAATTTCAATGTCCTTGTTTCGAGCAATTCGAATGTAATTTTTTATGTCTAGGAAAATGTGTTGCATGTTTTTTTCTTTATTTAGATTTTCTTTTATCATGGTGCTTTGCGAGATGTACCTGTTGCGTCCGTGATTGGAGGCGATGTCGCTGATGCTGCTTCGCGCCGTGCTGCCCCTGGCCCTGTCTCTGTCCGATTCGCCCGGTTCGCACGGGCCGTCTGCAGCGTTTGCAGCGTCTGCACTGAATGGTTCGTTTTTGTTCCCACTCGGCGTCGGTTTGCTCTTCTCCGAGCGAGGCTTGCCCTGTACATTTTTCGTAACGATGCAGTTGCCATCTCTTACCGTTCCTGCTCCCTTATTCAGTCTGCTGTAGTACTTAATTTTTTTTTGAATGTCGCTGAACACCACCTCATCAGGGGAAGAGGACTCCTGCTCGTCCTCTCCACTTAGCATCATTTGGTCGGACAGGAACTCCATGAAATTTACGTTTCTGTTTTTGTGTTCGTATGGGTTTTTGTAAGTCTTTTTAATTTTTTTCTTCTTTCGCTCTCGGAGCTTGGACGGGCTGACGATCTCGTCCCGTTGGCCTCCTTCGCCCCGTTGGCCCGGTTCACTCCGTTCGCCCCTGCATGGCTGTGCCTTTCCGTCTGTTCCCTCATAGTAGTTGCTGAACCCGGCGCGCTGTTCCTGTTTATCTCCATCCACGTTGATCTGCACTTTTTTCTTCTTTTCCCTTTTCCTATCTGAATGAGAACTGTAACGTCCAAGTTGGTCTCCGCTGGCTGTCGCCTGCTTCGCCTGCGTCGCACGTTGCGTCCTGTTGACTTGGTTCCTGTGGGGGTACTGGTCGATGTTTATTTTCACCTCGTGTTGGTTGCAGTCGTCCCGGTTGCATTCGTCCTGATCGAGGAGCATTTCGCTGTCCGTGCTCAGGTGTTCACGTTCATGTTCACGTTCATGTTCACGTTCATGTTCACGTTCATGTTCACGTTCATGATCGCTTCCCTTCAGGTCTATGAGTTCATCTCTGTCGTGCGCCTCACCCCCCGCATCGTGTGCACCGCCCACGCCGTTTTCCTTCCCCAGGGTGCTGTCCCAGTCATTTTCATCATCTGCCGTATCTGTGTCGTAGCCGTTTCTCTTTTGGCTAGCGGGATGACGTTCTCCTGGGTGCATTATTTTCCTTTTCTGTTTGGTGCAAGTGGTGGAAGACTGACTGGTGCGACGAGTAACATGAAGACATTTGTCTGTGTTCTCCCCTTTACTGGAGGGAGCACAGCGACCAAGCATTCTCGATCCATCGTATGCATATATTTTATTCGCTATTCTAATTTTTTCGGACTTCACTTTAATTAAGTGAAAAATACCTGTCCTCGATCTCTTCCTGTAATACTTATGTTTGTTGGTGTTTCTCCTTTTTCTACATTGCACCAACGAGTTATTATCGAATATAATTTTATTTATGCCGAACCATATGTTGATCAGATCCTTAATGTGGATGAGGCCAACAACACACTCCGAGTTACATCTGTTCAGGACAGGTATCCTCGAGAACCCACTGTTTAGAATCCGCTTAATGGTTTCATAATTAATAAAGCTATTATAATCAATTCCAAATACATAATCGATGTCGGTCATGATATGCATGACTTTGTATTGGGACATTTCTAGGGCGCTGACTACAATTTTTGCTTCGTCTTCGTGTAGAATATCGGCTGCGCTTTTGTGCATGTCCACCAGCGCCTTCAGCTGCTTCTTGTTGTACGTGGTCAGCACGTTCTTTCCTGCGGGGCAGAAGCGGTGAAGTGTGAAGCGGTACAGAAGAGGTGCAGAAGCAATGGACGGGGGAACTTCTGTGGCACGTCTATGTCGCGCGCGTGCGTCACGCCCGTTGCGTACCCACGAAGTGGTCCAGGATAAGGCTCGTCGGCTTAGCAAAAATGAAGAGGCAAAACTTGAGGCAGTGAATCAGGGGGGCGAAGAACCCACCAATGGCCAACCCATGCTTGGAACAAATGGACTGAGGAATGATCTCGCCAAAAATGGTTATGATCAAGGTCGAGATGATGAAGGAAGTGACACCGTCGGTCAGCTCACTCAGGAGTAAGCTGAAGGCAGCGTTCACCATGACGTTGGCTGTGATGAAAGTTACAAGGATCTCATTTGTATTGTTTCTAAGCGGAAGAATTTTTCTCGCGTTCTTGGCGTTGTTCAGCTCCTTCTTGTCTTTTTCGGACACGAGGATAAGAAGGTTCAGCTGCAGCGTGTCCAGCATCATTATTCCGAGGGAGAGGCCTGCGGGGCGTGAGAGGTTTGGCGGGCGGCGTGAGAAGTGTGGTGGGCGGCGTGAGAAGTGTGGTGGGCTGCATGAGCAGTTTGCTGGGCGGAGGGGTGATCGGCCAGCTCACCTGAGAACAGGGCACTCAAAATCCCACACACGACGATACAAGTTATAAGCAGCCATAACTGCATTTGAAGGGAACGGATCAGTTATTGGTTAGTGAGTGGCGGTAGCATGTAGCGATTATAATGTTTCCCTGGAGGGAAAAACGCTTCTGTCGGGGTAGGGGGGGGGGGGGTGCCTTCAATCCCAAGTAGCTACTCGCCAGTGGGGCGGTCGCGACGTGTACGTTGTAAAAGCGTGTACACTAGAGTAAGTGCACAAGGAGGGCCAACTCTCACAACAGTTCCAGGGGGGGGGGGGCATACACATGCGTTTTGTATATTATACACATACGCCCCCCTTGCGTCGCGAAGTGGCGATCTGCTCTCAACACCAACGATGGAAATATGTATCGAGGGGAGAGAGAGTCAGGAAGTGTAAGAATGCATTCGGCAGGGGGGGGCGAGCCTATGGCTTAACTTTTAAAACAAGTGGGGACCAACACACGAAAGGTAAAGGAAATACGAAA